ACGACGCTCCAGCGTCACCTTTGCAAAGGAAACCGGTGGCGGGGAGGGAAACGGCTGGATTTGGAGATCAAGCGGAGACCGGAAAACCAAAGCGGCGCAAAGCAGAGAGAGAGGAAGGGTTCTCCGGGCCGCTCCTCGGCTGTCGCTCAACGCCCTCTGCAAACGAGCGCGGAGACACAGGAGAGAACCGCTCCGGAGGGACGTTAAGAGCATCCAACTCCACCATCTCTCCTCAAAAGAGACATTTACTCTTAGGAAAGCCTCCTGAGACACTTCAAACCCTAAAGGCACGAGGAAGCGGGAGAGAGGGGTGCTGATTCCCTCCGCCCCGCGACCCCGCAGGCGACGGACCCGCTAAGAGAAGAGAGCCAGAGCTTTCCAATGAGACAGGTATTTATTGAGTTCAAGCGCTAAGGGTCGTTTCTGTTGTTGGTTGGTGTTATCAGACAGAGCTGAGGTACCAGCGACATTCCCACATGAAGAAAAGGAACCTTCTTCCCCTTAGACAATTTCGTCAACTACTTGTACCGAGACAAAAAGTGAGTAATGGAGAGCTGCGTAACGTACCGCACAACAAGCAAGCCGGAGCAGGGAGGAGAAAAGAAACAGAGCCGAAACTTTTACTGCTTTCAAAATCACCTTAAAGACATGAAAGGGGAAAAATAAAAATAAAAATAAACCCAAAACCTGTTCCCACGGTTCTACTGGCCATGTTGACAGAGCAAAGTAAAACCCAAAGCCTGCTAAGAGAGATGGCGCGAGGAATCGCAGTGTGGAAATGAAGACTGTGTTGCTCCTGCGCTCGCTTGGGAAGCGTCTTCTCTCTGGAGAACTGGGAGAGCACTAGGAGAAGACCGAATCCTGCAGTCACGTTACGTTATTGACTGCAGGGAGGATCCACAAGCATATCCGATGGACCCAGCTGGTTGTCCAGAGCAGACCTCAGGACCTTCTTGGGACACGAATGCCCAACGGCTGACAACTGGTCCCTGGTTCCTGCCACCACTGCGTGTGCCGAGTACAGAACTCGCGGTCACCTTCTTTCTGGACCTCTTCTGGAGAAGGTTACGATCGGGCCTGTTTAACAGAGCTGCTCCCAGACACGTAGCTGCTCTCCAAAAGCAGCTTCCGTCAGAAGCAGCGCAACGGCTCATCCGCCTGGCGATAAGCCAGCTCCTTGCAAATCCAGCGTCCCGGGCTCGTAACTATGAGGAACGGAGGGCTTTGGCGCATTCGTTAGACCGGAAGCAGAAAAAGTACGCGTTTGGGGGAAACAGCCAAATGACGCCCAACATGAGTTGCGTGAAGAACCAGAGGGGGGGAAAAAAAAACCAAAATCAAAAAGCAGCAAGATGGACCGTTGTTTGCACGGTTAAGAACAGTACAAGACAGGAAAAGTAGCCAGGTTTCCTTCCCCCCAAGAGTTTTCTTTTAAATAAAAGAATGATCCTTCGCCACATATCATTGATGTTTATTTCAAGACATGCCACGTCAAAAAACAACTCGCCTTTAATATTGCGTTATCAAAGCACTTTACATCTCATCCTGCCTTTAGGTTATCGTTGTGCAGAGCTGCTATAAACCCAGGTTGGGACACGAGTTTCGCGTTCGTTTCAAGAACGAAGGCATCCCGATCTGTCATGCCCGTCTCCCGGTGAAAGTGGTGGTGAGGACGATGCCCTTCTCTTCCCCGCTTGGGTATTTTTAGGTTGGTAGAGGGGCAAGAAGAGAACAAAGGAGGAGCCTGAATATTTGCTTGCACTTGTTCAGTTAAGTAGCAATCGCAACAGACTCGCCAATCCTTTCCTGCACTGTAACTCAGCCATCTCCGCCCAGCAAACAATGTATTTACAATTGTGTTTTATTAACTTACACAGCAACTTCACAACGACTAGTAAAGATTAAAAGGGTGCACTTCTAGTGTGTTCGCTCCTGTGTTTCTCGGGTAGCTACATCGCGCGACATCAGCAAAGCTCTAAACAAGATTCCTCCGCAAAACAAACAAACAAAATTTACCGAAAATAGTAAAAAAAAAAAATTAAGCAAAGAAATAAATATCCAAGAAAAACGGTTAACTGTAAGCCTAGTTAAATAGAAAATGAAATTGCTAGTTCTTCAACCAAACTATACAGATCTAGTGAAAATAACTAAACTGACTCGGAAGACTGAACGTTAAAAAAAAAAGCTAAAAAATAAAGGCATAAATCTGCATAATCGTAAGTTGGTTTCCGTCCTATTAAATTCCTTCCTTTCCCTCTAAGATCTTTCATCTAGATTCCTGTACGATCAAAGTAAACAACCCCTTCCCCAAGTCCACCTATAACCACGCTACGGAAAAGCACGTGCAATTCCCCCGTAAATTGCCCCCTCCGTCCCAGTCTTTAACTGGCCTGTTACCACAGCGTTTCTCTTAGTTAATTTAACCGCTCCTTCATCTTCTTGCCAAATTTTGAGAGTTCCAATCAACTTAAGCCAGTTTCAGTGCCAGTCTTGAATTCATTTAGTTTCTCCCCTTTCTTAAAAAGAAGCAGAACGCTTTCTCCTCGGAACAACTGAAACGTTACGTTCCAATCTCTCGCGTAGTAATAATTTACTTTATTGGTGTTCTACATAAAAGGAAAAAAATGCTCTTAAAACTCGTGGTGCACCCAAAACATGTTTCCTTGTTTCTCGCAAGTGTTTTGCTAATGCACGTCCACCCTTCCCTTCTCCCCCCAAACCCTTCGGAAGCCATTCATCCAGTTCAGAAAGTCGCTTCGCGTTTCTCCGTATGCTTTCTTGGAAACGTGTTCACGTTGCCTCTGCAAGAACTAAAAAACCCAGCAGCCTTTTATATCAAAACCCCTGCTAACATTCGTTTCGAAAAACACTGGGGGTTTGAAAACCAATCAGACTATCTCTGCTCAAAAGATTAAGAGCTTGGTTTTATTTTTTGTTATATGGATAGCATTTAACCCCTGGCATATGCTTCCTCTGCTTGCATTTTTGACCGCTGTCTAGTCCTTTCCAGTTTGTTAGAGAAATCAAATGGGTAAAAGCTATGCAAGCATTATTCTGCACATACATCTCATCTAAGTCCAATTCAAAACTTGCTCAGTTTCCATCATTTCAAAGTGCAATATCATAACATATTAAAAAAGGAACAAATATTAAGAAATTGTACCTATCTTTTTAAAGTTATAACTAGAATATGCTGGAATATTTTGGCTTTTTCTTATAAATAATGAAGACACTGACATTTTCTTTGTGTGTGTGTGTGTGCTTGTGAAGCTAATAGATCATCTCCACGAGACAGCCAGCGATGATGAACTGCAATACGTTATTACTGAAAGGGGAAGGTTCAAGCCAATATTCACACTGCAGTCAATGAAGAGTAAAGGGAGGGAAAGCAGTGATGTTCTGGAGAAAGGTAGAAGCCACATGGTATTAGCAGGAACAGCCTCCTTCACTGACAGGCTGCTCTTGAGGCTTTTCCAGTTTTATGTCGATCACTGAAAGAAGTAAGTTAAGGCAAACGGACATCCGACTCAGTTGCCCTACCAGCAGAGCTGTGTCTGAGGGCAGCCTGCTCCGAAACGTTCTCGTACCATACAGGGGCAGGTTTTGACTGGCATTTTCAGAAGCACTTCAGACAGATCGGTACCTGTGTTTCCCAGGGAAACCGACAGTTCTTCATGCTCTCGAGAAGACTGGCTTCAACCAGGAGTCAAGAGAGATTTCTTAGCAGCCCCTCTCACCCTGGCGTTAAGTTTTCGCTAGATACCTAAGAAACATGCCAGCATCAGATTCCAAATGTTCCCGAAAGCCCTGAGG